CGAATCATTCCCTAAGAAAATAACTCAGACTATTTATCCTTCGAAAAACAACGCAACAATTCAAAATGGTAATATCGATATTGAGGAACTCTCAGTCGTCCCGTGTAGTACACTTCCGGTACCGTGTATACGCGCCGAAGATATCCGATGGCGCGCAACGGGCGATCGATCGACGCGGCTCGTTTAAAATTACCATGACTGCGAAAATACGAGACTCGCCCGGTAACGACTCGTGGAAACGCAGACCTGATCGTTTCTTCGACGCGGAATAAAAAGTGCAAGGGGTGGGTGGACGGGTGGGCGGGCGGTGTGCTCGAGTATTCTTCGTAAAACGGTCGGAAGCATCCTTCGACCGCGACTAATGGAACGAAAAGACGAGATTGAGAGAGCGAGCAAATGAACGAACCGAATTATCGATCGAAAAATTACGAAGACTGGTCTCGCTTAGTCGAAAACGTCTTTCTCCCCGTTCACCGGCGATAGAGCCGACCCCGAGAGCCCGTTCGATCCTCTCTTCACGTGCCATCTCATTTTTGCTTGTCTCTCTGTGTATTCCTTTCTTCTGTTCGCCGATTTTTTTTCTCTTTTCACCCCCTCCCTCTTCTTTTCGCTGGCAATTATTCGCCGATTAGAAGAGCAACGCGATGCGACTTTCAACGAGAACACGGGTTGCAAATAGGTCGAGGATTCTATGATACATTTGCGCCCTGAGAACGAATTTCTTCACGCTAGAGTTAATGGACAAATCGAAATGACCCGTTTTCTGCTTTTTTCTGGAGTTAGATGTTCAAAGGTAAGATGCTTCCTTGGAAACTGACTGAAGGTATTGGTACGATCATTCTCGAAATAGAGAATAATCGAAGTCTTGGCGAACACAGTGTTGCAATTTGGTAAAGGAAGTGCGAAAGAGTTGCATGTGAAACACTCGTTAGCCAGATCAGTCGACTTCACAATACAGAGAACAGCGAAAAGTGATGCGATAATATGTATCGATTTCGACAGTTCTTCTTTGAATCCGAAGTCAAATGAACATTACAGACATAAAGATTATAAAATCATAAGGTAGTGTATCTTTCGAGCAACCTTTATTATTATCGCAACTTTTGCGTGATCAAAGTCACCTTCATTATGCCTCAGTATTAAACCCAATAAGATATAAATCTATTTTCCATATAAAAACTCAAGACCAACCGTAAGCGTTGGCGATAAAATAAAATAATATTGAAACTGTAGTTACACAATTTGCCCGACGAGCTCATACGACAAACACATACCAGTGCTTCCAAAGCCTTCCCAGCAACCAATCCGAACCAAAGTACCACAATTCGATCTCAGTCACAGTCAAGCATGAATCCTCCCGAAATCCTCAAGCAATCCTTATCAAATTCGACCGGGAACCTCGAAGCCGCGCGTCACGCCAC